CCAAATTCCTTTTTCATCAAAGAGCGATACTGGAAACGGAGCCAACTCATAAGCTAAATAATTTCGGAGCTCCTCATTTGATCTTTTCATAACACAAATTCTTTGAAACAATAATAACGGATCGATCGGCACTATTTTGTTGTGAACTTTAACATTACTGTTAACGCTTAAAAGTGGAAGTACTCGATCTGCTCGCGAAAATTTAATATCGAAAAATGTTTGGCCTATTTTTTTTGCATAGCAATATTACCAATCCTATTAGCATCGTGACAATTAATTTTCTCATCTCCAGTGACTCCTGATGCAATGGACATTATTTTTTCGATAAAGGCAAAAGGGTAGTGGCAATCTAACCACTGTAAAAGTTTTTGAACATCTTCATTATCTCTTTTAATGCGAGAGACCCTTGCGTCTACGTTTTGTTCTCCAGAATGAAAAGAAATTTGGCAAAACTTTTCAAGGGATTCAGAAATGTTACTCGCAGTTAGAAGCCCATAAACCCATTTATTTAATACACTTTCATTAGTACTTCTTCCATGTGTGAATCCTCCTTTTATTTTTGATGACTTCATCAGAGTCTGCTCAATTATCTGGTCACTCCATGTTCCACAGAAATATTTGTTTGATCGTCTAACTGTGAAAAAACTATTTGTAAACTTCTCAAAAGTTTCACTATCCATTGAATTTCTTAAATTTTCCATATCTGAAATATACAAAGTAGCTGACTTTGCGTACAGAAAGTGCCCTGTTGCGTGAAAATAAGGAATCATTTTTTTTATAGACGCTAAGTGTCCTCTCCAGTTGCCCATTCTTTCTGATCTTATAAATTCCTTCAGAATTGTCACCATCTCAAAGTATTGTACCCACAACTGTGCCGTTGGACCTCTATTTTTAATTTCCTTCAATTTTTCGTCAAATATTTTTTTTAATTCTTTGACTGCACTCGAGTCTTCGACACTTTTAAAATCTGACAAATTTGATAAGCAAATATTCAGGAGTTCTTTTTGTTCATGATTTAATGATAACTCGTTCAATATTATGTGAGCCAGAGCAAGTTGAAGTAATGTGTGACCTCTAATTGCGCGAGAGTAAGCGTGACCTGATAATATATGGTCAACAGAGTTAGGAGCAAAAATAACGGATAGTACTTCCTTTAACCCACTTCCATCCATTATATAGCCAATTGATCCCAAAAACGACATTAAAAGGTGAAAACCTCCAAGCCTCACAATTACTCTTGAAAGGGGAGAATTTTTATCTGCTGCTGTAACTATTTCTTTTGCTTTAAAATAAAGTGGTTGGTCAAATGTAACGATAATAAACGAATGCCCGTATTTGTTTCCGTCATCGATAATATAGTTTAATGTAGTGTAAAGAGTATTATAATCACTTGCTGCTTGATTTATGAATGGCAAAAAAAGTATGCGTGATTTGGAATACGGTTCGTCGACAGTTAAATTTTCCATGTAGCCACTCCAACCTGGAATTTTTTCTACGTTGTTCCATTTAGCGTATAGCCATAAGACATCAGCATTTCGAAGCATCGATGATGTTGATATTTCATCGCAATCAATAGTTTTTACGGTAACTTTTTTCAATCCCTTTATTCCTATATTTTCATAAAATTTTATTGGAATACGTGCTACCTTTGCCATCTCTTCCTCCGTTGGTAACTTCTTTAGACGAATAATTTTTGTTTCACTTTCCATTTTATCATGTGGAGTTATGATTCTAATCATACCCATAGAATGGAATGTATTAAATCCATCGATTGTTGCTACATTATGATCCGTATTATCAGCAACGTACTGTATGAAACATCCTTCATCTGGTGAAGAAATTCTCGGTTGGGGGTGAAATAACGTTGATGCTTCATACAGAGAAGTTTCCTTATAAGTAGCACACAAACCCAAACATGATAAAATATCAATTAACCTTTGCGAATCGAATTGCCGATGTAAATAAACCGAGAGTCCTAGCTGTAGATTCGAAGCAAATGATCTAGGGCGTAGTGCAGTCATAATTGCATGGCAAAGCGTTGTGCATTTTTTTCGTAGTGGCTCTATTTTTCCTTTTTTATTTTTCAAAATTAATTCATCGACAAAAAAAATTAATGATTCAGGAATATACTCATTTAGATTATCGAATAAACACGTGCTTGAAGTATAATATTTTGTTTCACAAATTTGAGTGCACGCGTCTTGACGTAAAATGCTTGCAGCTGCAACTAGAACTTCACGACGTTCTGCCTCAGGATTATTGTTTTTAAAAGACTGTTTCATTTGAGTTAAAACGCTGTTATAATGAGTGTCTCGGAAAGAAATAATAGTAGGTCCAGGTATTTTAGCAGTGATAACGATTCGATCAGAATATTTTTCTTCAAGTTTTTTTTTAATAGTTTTATCGTCTGGTTTGTAATCCGTTAATGTTTGTTTTAATTCAGATAGTGTAAACTGACAGTCCTCGTGATTTTCAATGTAAGAGAAAACATTCTCCATCGCTGCATTAATATTATTATTTTGAGGACGACCCTTCTTCTCACCTGTACCAGGATTATGTAATTTACGGAAACACTTCTGGTGGTATCGTGCTTCCGCTGCAACCAAATCAATCTCAAATCTAATACGTTTTTTTACAGTTTTTAAAACATCATCACCTTTTTTGTCTGGAAGTTCCAGAATATTGTCTTTAAAGTTAATAGTGGAAACACAACTTATTAAATCACGAGCGTTTTTACTTTTTTTTTTTCTTTTTCTACGTCAGCCTCTAATCCACAAATAAAACTAAGTTTTTTAAAATCAAAAGTTGTACGTACCCGACTCTTTGGTGGGCTCGATGTGGCACCTTCATTTTCGCGTTTTCTTTTAAATGCAGTAATACTCGATACCCGGCAATATTCTTTTCGGCAATTTACGTGAACTTTGATTGAAGATACATTCATCATAAGTGCGTCTTTGCCATCACCTCTTTCAATACTCGCCTTAATCAACGTTTGAAGTCCACGATCGACTTGCACAATATCTCCATCGCTCAATTGTTTCGAACAAATTATACACAAATCTGCCATTTTAACAAAACTGACGAAACGACAAAATTAACGAAACCAAGAAACGAAAAATACGTCAGTCGCGTTCGTAAATAACTCAATACTGCTGAATATTTCTACATTGCTGTTACGTCTCCTCGGATATGACCAATAAATCGATAACTCGATTATAAAATAATACGATAAGAAAATACAATAAAACTTTAATAGTTCCATCGACGGTCATTTAATGCCTAACTGGAAAAACCCACTGACCCACTGATTAGGCAACGGTGTGTCCCGACTATCTAATAATAATAATAATAATAATAATAATAATAATAATAATAATAATAATAATAATAATAATAATTATAATATAAATATAATCCAACGTTTCAGATGTACTATAATACTCAATGAATGTTAATAAAGCGTGTGTTAGCTTAGACAGTACAACGACGATTTTCATAAATATCTATGTCGAAAAAAAAGTTCCTTCTTATAAATACTTCTTTTTATTTACTTTTTTTTTGAAACCTTTTGATTGTAGGCTTAAGGACTTAGGATACTTTTTTATAGATAATTTACTCAGCTTTAATTTAGTATATAGGTATTTTAGTTTTCCAGTTGATGTTTTAAGAGGTATTAGTTAAAAACTGATTTTTGAGCAATTTTCACCCCTTAAAACCACCCTTAAAATTTTAGCACATGCGTTATCACCGGGGACTTTTAGGAGAATAATCAGGACCCTAAACTATAATGAAAAACCAATCAAAACCTTTTGTTTGATTTATTCCGAATAAAGCCGTTTTTTTCGCATAACTTCTGTGGACTATATAACAATTAAAAAATTAAACATTATTATTTCAATGTTACAACAGGCCACGCTATGTAAATGAAAGTTCGGGAAGACGAATAGTGGATATACATTACGTTTTTAGTCAAATTAAAAATAGTGTTCATCAAGGGTCATTTGGTTGTTCATTTTTGAATATGACATTTATTTCTGAAAAAAGGCACGGATTTAGATCAACATTTAGGTTTCAGTGTGATATGTGTAACATTGTTATGTTTATTAACTCAGAAAAGTCGAAACCTGAAACCTTTTTGCCGATAAACGATGCCGCCGTAAACGGATCATTAGCAGCTGGAATTGGTTTTACACAATTATCTGAATTATGTGCGGTTATGGATATCCCTTGTATGTCTTCGTCTACTTTTCTCTCAGTACAAGAGTTTATTGCTAAAAAAATCCATGAAGTCGCTGAGGCGCAAATGAAAATTGCTGGTGACGAAGAACGTCGTTTAGCAATAGAAGCTGGATCAGTAGATATTGACGGAATTCCCATGTGTACGGTTGTCGCAGATGGACAATGGTCTAAGCGCAGTTACAAGACTAAATATGATGCATTATCCGGAGTAGTAAGAAATGTATAAATACCAATTTTATAAATTTTAATTTTACATTTATAATTTCAGGCAACAATAATTGGTTATAGATCGAAAAAAATTTTGTTTGTGGGCATTAAAAATCGGTTTTGTGTAATTTGTCAGAGAGCGAAAAATAAAAAATTACATCCGTCTGAACATACATGTTTTTTAAATTGGAAAAAAGGTGCTACAAGTATGGAAGCTGATGGTATTGCTGATGGTTTTAAACGGAGTTTAGAAATGCATGGTCTAAAATACAATAAAATAATAGGTAAATTAAACTACGTTTTTCAATCGTGCATATTTTTCAACTACCAAAATAATTTTAATAAATTTAATAAAAAAAAATTCTAGGAGACGGAGACTCGAGCGTTACAAAAAGACTAGCTGACATAATGCCTTATGGCCCTAGACTACGAGTAATAAAAATAGAATGTCGCAACCATTTATTGCGAAACTATGGAACAAAATTTAGGGCTATGACGTTAAATACAAAGTACCAGCTACAAAGAACCTACACATGCACATCATAAGAACAACATGTTATTGTGTTAATAAAACATTGTAATTAGGTACGTACCCACCTCTTGTTTCTACCTGAAACTGCTCCTATAATCACAAGCGTGTCTCACGGGCAATATATATTAAATTCAAGAATAACGATGAAATGTTTAAGTTTTGAACATCATACACCGCATATAAAATAAACGAATCGAATAAAATTTGAACCATATAGAGTTGGCAATTTTAACGATAATGTAATAATCGCCCTTCACCTCCCCCACCCCCCTCCCCCAATTTTGTTTTTGTGTTAGGACTAAGTTTTTGTGCACAAACGATGCACATACATTTGGCTTGGTCAGAAATTCAAATTTTGAGGAGCGGGGGGGGGGGCATGATCATTGATATGGACCTACCGGTATCTATGGAATCGGGACATCGAAATAGCGAGTAATGAACCTACTCAAGAAGAAACAAGCGGTAGTATAATTTATATTTTATATAATATTATAATTATAATAATTAATATAGCTATTCTCTAGTTGTTTTCTTTAAATTTTAAAGAAATATATGGTCATTAGCTGTAGGTTGGTACTGCAGAGTTTTGGGATTATAGAGCAGTGTTTCTCAACCTTTGTATAATGGCGACACACTATTAAAATATTTCATACTTTGTGACACATAGTAAAAAAAATAAGAATAATAGATAGTATTAAATATTTATAATTAGTTAATAATATATAATCAATTATAATATATAAAACAACAAAGAAAAATATAACATAGGTAAAACAGCATTTTAATGAGAAATTTGTGACTGATATTTCTTACATAATGTATCAATTCGTAGTGAAATCTTCGATAAAGCGACTCTTAACTCCTCTTCGACATTAATTAATCTTTCCCTTTTTTTGTTTTTAATTTCATTCAAAGCAGAAAAAGCTACCTCTCACAAATATGATGTCGAAAATGGTGATAATACGGAATGAGCCAATTTTGTTTTTGTGTAAATCCAAAATTGGCTTAGCTCGAGCTCATTAAAATTCATTTGAAGAATGCGATCGTTTTTAAATTCTGCAAGTTCTTCTTCCTCTTTTAATGAAAGATGCGTGGTTTCTAAACTAAGATTAAATGGACTCCTCACCCAATCAAATAATTTCAAATCCAGCGATGAAAAATAATGATCAAGTTTTTGGTCCAATAATGTTATTGAGTCATTGATAATTGGTATTATTTTATCAGTAAATTTAGTATTAGCAGTTAAAGGAAACATCCAAATTATTATCATTTATACTTCTTTTCCAAATCAATAATTTGCCTTTAAATGCAGCCATTTTGTCTGTAGATATTAATAAATTTTGATTTTCACCTTGCGTGCTTAAATTTAATTGATTCAGATGTTCAAAAATATCAGCTAAATATCCTAATTTTGAACACCAAAATTCATCGGATAAATAATCGGAACATTCCATTTGTTCCATTGTAAAATATACCAAAAGTTCTTCTCTAAGTTCATAAAAACGTGATAAAACTCGTCCTTTTGATAACCAACGTACTTCTGTATGAATAATCAATGTATAGTGGTCAGATTCCATTGATTCACATAACTGGGAAAATAATCGAATTTTTTGAGGTCTACTTTTAATAAAATTCACCATTTTTACGACTGGATCAAGTACAATATTTAATTCATTAACAATACTTTTTGCTACTTATGCCTCCCTGTGTAAAAAACAGTGTGTTGTGTTGTGTTTATATTTGGATTTTGATTTTTGGCAATTGTAATAATTCCTTTAATAGAGCCTGTCATTGATGGCGCCCCATCTGAACAAATACTTATACAAGAAGTCCGCGATATACCATAATTTTTAAAATACTTATTTATGACATCAAAAACATCTCGACCAGTTGTTGTCCCAGATAATTCTTTACAACAAAAAAATTGAATAACTATTTTTGAATTTACAATAAATCTAATAAATGCCATTAATTGAGCTTTCCCACTTATGTCTGTTGATTCATCAACTTGCAAGGCAAATAATTCTCCACTTTTTATAACTTCAATAACTTGCTCCTCAATATCCTCTGATATATTTATAATCCTACGACTAATTGTACTATCAGATAATGGTATTTTAATTATTTCTTTTTCTGATTCGACTCCTAACATAGTCTTTACCATAATACGACAAGCTGATAAGAACGATAAAACTCTCGGCAATTAAATGAGATTTTTTTTTTGAGCTATCAATTGGGCGATACGAAAACTAGCTTCCTGTGCCTTATCCGAAATTTTCACTGATCTTACAAATTGTTTTGATTGTAGTTATTTTGAATCTAATAGTCTTCGAAAATAATCAATTTGTTTATTTTGTAACGATTGATGTTTTGTGGTGAAATGGCGGGTTAGCTTATTGAGAACCATTGATTCATTCGACAATTTTTCGTCACAAATAAAACAATAAGGAATAGGACAATGTTCGTCGCCGACCCAAAAAAACCTAATTTTAAATAATTTTCATTGTATTGACGATATTTATTTAGAAGGATTTTCTTGTTTTTCTTTAAAACTTGACGATGCATTTACAGAAGATGACGAGTTTTTTTTCTGTTTCCAAATTGTCTTCATCTGTATTCTCTCTTACTACTTGTATTTTTTTAATCAAAAATTTATCCATTTTATTTTAATTAATAACAAAAAAAAATATTGTTGTTAATAAATTAAGAAAAAGTCTATTCGACTATAGAAGTAAATGACAACTGAGCATACAAATAAAGTGAGTTATTGATACGGTGCATGTTTTCAGTATAAATATAATATACGTATTCACTGTTTAAAAATAAACGAAAGTATCAAAAACCAACATTTATAAATTAAGATGACACACAATAGGCGATTCGAACGCGATTAATCGTTCAAAATGACGATAATAATAATAACCCAACGATAATAATACAATTTATTTTATGTCAATAGCTGAAAATCTATTTTTATTATCATGGAAATTATATCAAATACCTAATAATTTTTGTAAATATTTAATAGTGTTAATAATGTTTTTTTGTCATTTAATATTAGTACTTCACGCGGCACAATTGGACTTGCTCGGCGACACACATATAGACACTGCTATAGAGAATGGTCAGTTTTGGAACACGTTTGTGTTAGGCAGTATTTGGGAGGCGGACAATGGGCCGAATCAAATTAGCCGAAAAATCCATGAGCCGACATGATTTAGCCGAATCCAAAGAGCCGACATGATTATCTATAGCAACGGTTCTCAAACTTTTTTTTGCGTACCACTTCCCAGTAAACATAACACGTATAATCTACGTTTATAATAAGGATAATATTGGTATATAATTATACGTTGTAAATATATGTATATTATTAGTATAATATACGTTTATCGATGTTCATTTTTCGTGTAAGGTAGGTAGAGCTATAAACGTTTACATTACGTGGTGTATCTACGTTTGTTTAACGTCGACAGTACGTTTATAATTGGTTGGTCGAAGAAACGTGTATATAGCACGAAAAATATTCGTTTAGTTTTCGTGTACTATTGGTAGAGGTATAAACGTTTACATTACGTGGTGTATCTACGTTTATTTGACGTCGACAGTACGTTTATAATTGGTTGGTCGAAGAAACGTGAAAATAGGACGAAAAATATTCGTTTAGTTTTCGTGTACTATTGGTAGAGCTA